TTACTTATACTACAACATTTTCGATTTTGATACAGTTTTGACTCAGAATGGAGAAGAAATTATCAAAATCAAAACTCTGTAAACTAAAACCATTAACCATCTCCTACCATATGTTAGTATCAACTTCATAATAGCACCCTTTCCTATAACAGCAAAACCATGAAAGCTAAACAGAGTTTATTAAATGACATGGAAGATGGAAGACACATGGCCCAGGCTTCAACAAAAATTGGTATTTTGAACGTTAACTCCACAAGGCTAAAGAATAATCATAGAATCACTTTCATTGTTGAGTCCAACTGTTAACCTACCAAGTTAAGTCTTCCACTAAACCATGTCTCCAAGTGCTTGATAACCCTTTCAGTGAAATTTTTCCTAATATCCAACCTAAACTTCCCCTGTCATAATCTGAGGCTGTGCACATGTTTATCACTGTATGGAATGAATAAAGTAAATTATATAAAAATGGTTGGATACCTCAAGGATTCCTACATGCAAAAGCAATACTGAAAGTGAAAAATTCAGAATCAGTATATCTAGTATGGATACAAACTAGCATAGCCTTCTATATTGACTGAAATGCTTGGAGAATGTTCTGTAGAAGGGACACAATGTTAACAGAGGCACATAATAAACATACAAGCTTATTTCATATAAATTTTACCTATTAACAATAATACAATTAATGATCTTCCCAAAGATAGTCCCTTATTGTAAATAAACGGTAGAGCATTAATGGCAAAAATATGTTCATAAAGAAGAGTTAGGCCTACATTTAGCCTAGAAAGAGTCATATGCAACTCTTCTTATGTGTTTGTAGAAGCACTTCATGTAAGCATATATGGTCCCAAAAGCACAATGAAAACACAAGTAAGACTTGCTCCCGAAGGTCTACATTTCTATGAAAGCATTTAAGAAAAGTGAAAAATAAGTAAGCTTATTTTATTTCAGCACAAAGATATTGTAACCATGCTAAATATATGCAAAAATGAAGTAGGTGTTGCTGGATGTTTTCAGTTTTTCAGATGTGTTGATGCCCCAAACATCCCTGAAGGACTAAAACAAAATGCACAACTTATTTCTGAACTCTAGTGTTTCTGGTACTTCATTTATTAAAAAAAAAAAAAAAAAATCTGCTTCCTTGACCCCATAAGTACTTGCCTTAGACCACTAGGTTTCTGAAATTCATACATGTATGTAAAATTTTCAAATCTTACCTGAAATAATCTAGTGAAGATATCAAATTCAAAAATTGAAATGTAGTCATTGCAGGTCAAGTCAATAGTAGATTTAAGAGCCATTGCTTCCAAACCAGAGCTTATCTGATGAACTTCATGAAGGCACTGCCTGAACACTTTCCATGGCACTATAGTTCTGTAAGAGGGGTGGAAATAATATATTTAATAAAACTACACACTTAAGATTTGATACCTTATTTAGAAATCATAACTGGACTTTTAGACAAAGTGGAACATTAATTTGGTCTCTCAACAGACAAAAAAAACCCCCAAACTTTAAAAATCAATTTTTTTGAAAGCAGCATGAGCAAATGAAAGAAGAGTTTATTTTCCTTTAAACATGGTAAAATGAAAGCATAATTTTATTTTACAGTGATAAATATTCAAGCTTCCTCTGGAGGACAACAAAAAGAACCCTGTAGGAATGGAAATATCCTACCAAGCAGGTGTAGAAACCAAACTAACATCCTCTCAAAGAGAATGTAAAGGACCAACTCTGTGCTTGGTAAAAAACTCCTTGCTTCACAGCATCTCTTCTCCAAATGATAATCATCAATTTAGTATCTGCTGTGATGACATTTTTTATAGCTAAAGCTCATAAACACTGGTCAAACAATGTGGCAGCAATCAACCAGATGGCAACAATGCCAGTGCAAGGCCTGCCAGACCCCATAACAGTTACATGAATATTAGAAGACACATCTTCTCAAATCTTCACCATCACATTTTCTTGCAGGATGGGTAGTATTTTCAGACAGTAGTGATTGTGGAAAAAGGTGGGAAATCAGAATAGAAGGAAAGTAAAATTATCCTCTTTAATATAAAGCTATGTTCTGTCACATTCAGGTTCTGTTTGCATCGTTGGAGATAATGCAGATTTAGAATCTGACATGAGATTGATCCCTTGAAAGTGCTCTATTTTATCATGATCAAACCTATGAGAAATTGTTCAATAATAGTAATCCTTATCATGTCATTAGGGTCAAATCCACATTTTGCAAAGCCGTAACACCTTCTCTTAAAAAAAATTATGCCTCCCATCAACTACAGAAATCAGATTATATTTAAAAACCATTTTAATTAACCAAAATAGAACCACCAGATAGCCATTACCCCATATATAACTATTTCCAGGACTTAAACTCACAGATACATAGGAATATTTTGTAATAACTGCTAAAATGACAAGACAGAGACCTCTCAAACTTATCAATATTTCTTGCAATTTTTATTAGTTCACTCTGATTTAGTTTTGTAAGAGTCAAAACATTGTATTCCACTTTTTCTAACTACTTTCTTATGCAGATATGTCTATTACTTGCTAGTACAGTATTGTGGGAAAAAAAAAAAAAACAAGGCTAACTGTATTAAGTTGGTCCTGCATAATAAGTATTATGCAGTTAACCTAATTTAAACCAAATAGTAATTATAAGAACAACTCTAAAGAAACAACCCTGTATTTCTACCATATTGGGAAGCAACTAGATTTCTAAGTGCAAAGAAATCTACTTGTTACTTGGAGGCTTATATTGAAAAAGTCCTAAATGATAAAATGTGAAGTTTAATAGATCTCAGCAGATACTTTCATCTGTGTATGAAAAACAGGAAACCACAAAGAGCTGAAGAGAGATACCACATCAGATGCCATTTAAGAAAGAATGCACATCAATTTTTGATTATGGTAAAGAGAGAATGAAACATTGCACTAAGTTCAGAGAACAAAGTTTGAAAACGTCAGTGCTCCTGTGGTGTTAAAGTTGTCTTGGTTCAAGTGCCTGCTCCTTGTTTAGTTCCTGTAACCGTGGCTCTGAAATGTTTTCTGATCCTCTTTGTAAACCACCTTAAATGGTTACAGCACTTGGAACATGATGAAATGGGGTTATAAAAGTATGGGGGTTTGTATTTTTTTCATTGTTTCTTTTTGGGATAGGGTAGTGGTGGTGGTTTTGTTTGTTTTTTAAGGCTTAAGACAATAACCATTAAAAATAAAACAACAGAAAATCTATCAGGAATTATTATAGCCGTACTACACCTTAAGAACGGCTTTTTTTATGCCTCATCTGAGGCAGTTTCATGAAAACGTGAGATGCGATTAATAAATAGGATCTTTCACTAACACCTTGCACTCCCAAAACCCCAACAACAGAGAAAACAAACAAAAGTCTTCAGGAGAATATGTTGTCAGAGCTCTGTTGGGTAGTACCTTGGCTAATACAGAAAAGAGATGCTGAGAGATGAGCAATTCGCTAAGGAAATAACATCTAAAGTTACATTGCAGGACTTCTCCAAGAACAAGTGTCTAAAAAAAAACAGTGGCCCCAGTCTAAAATTCACTGAATTCCACAGATTTTTTTTTTCTGCAGCTCTGTGGAAGCTGCTTTCTTAAAGGTGAGAACCAGTTGTTGAAATACGTTACCCACCTACTTCTCATCAGCTACTTCTGTACAGCTATCATTCCTGAATACTTTGAAAAAGCACCAGCCGGGGGACATTTCTGCCCCGATACCTCTCTCCAGCTTATACATACAAATTACTGTGCTCTTTTGAGGCCTTGCAGGCAGCACACACCCACCCCAACTGAGGGTGTTACTGAGTCTTCACAAGGTAAGGGATTCTGCAGCATCCTCTCCTACAGCACTGAAGTCTGGTGACCTTACAGACACACTGAGAAACATGCTCTTCTGGCAGAGATTTAGGAGGGGGTCACGCAGAATGCTTCCCACAGTGAGGAGGAGGTTTAAGAGGTTTTTGTAGATGGCTGGCAAGTCGAGTTTCTGTTTTAATTAGTATTTTGCTGCTGTTGATTTCCTGTGAAAACACCTTTTCATTATTCAAATCTGAAGAGTTATTTTAATTGTCTGGGGACATAGTAGGTACAGTAGGAGGGCAAAGGGAACAGGACCAATCAAACCAAGACTGAGATTGGGCCTGACCTAGTTAATAGCATGCTTAGATTGTTAATTTTTTTTGTTGTTTTAAACAGGGAAAAAAATTGCCTTTACATATAGAAAAAGCAGGCCCAGTTTGTAATAAAATAGTGCCTGCAGCATTCAGCTCCTGAACCACAGAAGGTATCTCCTATAAATATTTTCAGTCATCTTTGTCTTTATAATATTTGTTGCATCATGTCCTAATGATACCCTGCACTAGAGGCTGGCAGGCATTCTGCACTTGCCTCATGCAATTAGGCTGACCTGTGGTCCCTTGTCTAGAAGGAGATGAGTTAGTCAGCTCTGCCACAGCTCAGCAGAAAGATATGATTTGACATCCCAGTAACAATAGTTCTCTACAGAATTAGGTTGAGTCTCAGTATTCTAATCATAGGTAGGTAAGCTATGCCTTGCAGTAGAGTGCACATGACTCCAGCTGAGACAATGTTTTGGGGAGTATCTCCTTAGGGGATAGTAAGAACTACATAGTGATTCTCATTTCCTCAAACGTTTGATGCCCAAAGTTAAGATCCCTACTACACACGCACCCATTATGAATAGATACACCCAGGGCTTTGATAACAGTTTTTCTTTTTATAATATAACCTGGGGGGAAAAAAAAGAAGTTAATACAATTACTGAGGTAATACAAAAATTGCATGTACTTACTGTTATTGTGCTACATGTTACTTTATTATGACCTTCACTTCGTTCAAAATCTTCAGAGAGGTAATTTCAGAAGGAAAAAAAATATGAAGGAAGCTAAAACTCACAAACATTCCTTATATAGTGGAAAATGGTTATGGAAGATCTCTTACAAGAGAAACCTAATCTTTAGCTCCTAAACTTTTAGGAAATTATTCACACTTCTAGTATCTTTGTACTACCTTTCCTCATCATTAGGGTAGAAGCAAGCCCACAGCAGTTTAAGGAAAGGAAATACAAAATGAAACTTATGATCCTGAATAATTTTTTCCTATAGAGGCTTTCTGTGAACATCTGATCTCTCTCTCAAATAAATAAAACTACCTGTAATTTGGCATTTACCTAGGGTCTTTTTACTTAAGATTCCTGTCAAAAACCCTAAAATAAGTTATTTCTCCCCCAAGCCTCCCAAAATGACACTACTTCTCCACATTTCTTCTGCCACAGTAAAATTAATAAGAGCATTTGAAGAATGATGAATTAAAAAATGTTCTGATTCAAGTATAAGCTTTTTAAAAATCGTTTATATAGGATGGTATCTATTTATTATTATTGACACACAGCAAAGGGCAGTGTCACTCTATAATCTCAAATACAGTGTTTTAAACACCACACCCACAACTTACATATGCCTAAAAGAGAAAGATTAGTATCCAGCATGTAATTTTCAAGCAATTCCGTAGAGGAATTCAGATCCTCCCTTCCCTGCTGCCCTGACCACGTGTACACAGGATTTTTTTTTAAACTCCCTGAATGTTGCTACAGTATTAAAAAGCAAAAGACACTAAAATAAACCTGGAGAGGAGGCAAATATTTTCCAAGCATGAGAGTACCACACTTCAGTAGAACTGCAGAGATGCAGCTATTCTGGAACGATAAGTGACACTATTCCCATTTGAACCAGAGCAGACCACAAGTAGGTCTAGGAAGGTAAACACACACCTGTGTAATTCAGTCTTACAGTGAATATTTTTGTCTGCACAAGACACTCAAACACTGCCAGAAAACATAACACGAAAAGGGCATTACTGTATCCAGAGCACACTCAAAAATACTCAAGTAAATACTGACCCAGATACAAAAAGCATTCTTTTCAAATCTGCAGTGAGCTATGTGGATTTTCTTTTATCATCACTGAACAGAACATTTTCTTAAGACTGCTGCTTCAGTGAGAGGCCACATGTTTTCATTACTTCTCAACTGCAGAGCAAACAATTGACACACAGAAAGCTTGAGAAGTTCAGTCCTTAGGGAAAAAAGGAATCCTGCCATATCGTGCCAGTACAATCATTAGTGACATCATGCAGAATGAATATAGATTAATCTAACATGAGAAAAGAGAAGGTAATAGAGAAAATGAGTCTTATGAAATGGGGAAAATATGCCACCAAAAATATTCACTTCCCAAGGCACGTCACTGGTCAGTGCTGGAGAGAGAGCAACTTAGTACTGCCTTAACAGGCGCAGGAAGTGTACATTTCCTGAAGTGTCCCCAAAGGGA